TTAGTAAAACATTGGACATCTTGTATGAAAAATTAAGAAAGTAGAAACATTTTTAACAATTAAAGTTTTTTAAGTGTATAAGAGACAAATTTACAAATAAAAAAGGTCCCAGGACACACTATGTGTTTGTTTTGAAATGCCATAGAAATTTTATCTGTTTTAGATGCATTATCTAGAGATAGTGGTTTTAAAAGGTATTTAATTCTAGAAATTATATTTAAATTACGCATACAATTAAAAACTTCCTACCTTCCCGGTGGGAAATTTTAATTGGAACACCCTGTATATGTCGCGAAAGCCTTAGAACTATTAGAGCTTATGTTGCTTGATGCTGAGTTTGAAAGTAAAAAAAACTCTTTATCGAGATGTAATCGACATTTCCGTGACCTGTTTATTGTTTTTCATTTTTGTTCATTGATTTTCATTTACCAGAGCTTTTGCTAGATGGTTTATAGTAGTTGCTCGATAAGAGTGATTGGTGAAACTTTTTGTGGTCAAGGACTAGTTTTTTTTTGCGGAAATCATTGTCCATTTCGATATTTCATCCTTATCAACTGATTTTGTATCATACATAAGTATATTAGTTTTATGCCATTCTATATTTGGTGGAAGAAATTGTCGATTTGTCCGAATATTGGCATCTTGACATTAAAACCATTAAAAAAATTTAAAATTTCACATTTTGAGCCAACAGGTAAAATGTCTTCATTATCGACCATTTACTGACAGTTAATTTAAATATATGGCTGTATTTATTTCTGTCAGTAGTTGCTCCACCATGGAGCTTTTATTCTTAAAAAAAATCAGACATTTGGCTGCCTCAACTCGACGAATAGCCAGCTCAAAGGATATAACATGAAAAATTTTCTGTTGAAGATCAGTTGGCATAATTCGTTATAGGCTAAAACCGATTTTTTTTCTAGATCAGTTTGCAACATTTTAAGTGCATTTCTTGCATCTCTTACAGATATAGAGCTCACGCCATTAAATGGATTATCATAATTTCAAAACCCTCGTTATGTTTTCCATGAGAAGTTCAGCTCTCACATACAGAATTTACCGCACTCTATAAAATGATCGTCGTTCTTTCGCATATTTCTCGCCCAATCTTTTAAAATACAAGCAATTTTGAAGAGAAGTAATCTATTTCTGTAGCAAAAACATTTCCAAATCGATTCATTTTTGTTATAACTTGCAAAAATTTCAATGGATTTTTGAAGCGGAGTTCTTGATTAAATTATTAATTATCCAATAACTTGGAAACGCTTATTTACTTATACTTATTTATACTTATATGCCTATTAACGTACTTATAATTATTTAGAGAAATAGGATCCTATATACCTGAGAGGTATGGTATTACCAACGCCGAGGTACCTGTTCAGTCGGCCACGCGCGTGCTGTCGCGTCGTATACGTTTGTTTGTTGACGGAATTCTGTGTCGACGGTGATTTTCGCTGAAACTTATTTAGAGAAATAGGATCCGAAATGCAAACAATTTTCTCATATATAGGAGGGTGCCTGTTAATTAATGGTACACAGCGGAAATACAGATCTCTCATGGTGAAGTATTGGATTTAATCAAACTTCCCTATTTTCAAAAGTTTCATTCATGCTTTTCATCAATTGTCCTGCGTCCTGCCAAGACTTTTTGCAGGATGCCAAATGTCCTTAATTTTACGCATGTATATTTTTTCAAAATATACAAGCGCATTGCACAAATCGGCTGGAACCTTGTGCATATGGCATTTAACATAAAAGAGCAAACTTAAATGCATAATAATGAATTTCACATCATAATATGTAACTTCAATTTTTTTATTTTCTCATTTAGTATTAATATTTACAACATAACCCAAAGAACGTATTTATTTATTTATTTATTTATTATTATCCAAAATAATTTTTTGCATTAATGTTTTTTATTTATACAGGGTGATTCCCAACTTATCTGAAAAAAAAGAGAATAGATCATGAACAAAATATCATGAAACAAATTTGTAAAATCCTTATAGTTTCCGAGAAAAAAATGATTGAAGTTGCAGTATTTAAAACCCTTACATCGCTGGGCTACTGTAGTCTCTAGCGTCATTCCCGTTGTGCGCTGTACAAAATTCGCTGTCTCTCCACGTTCGAATCCTGAAATTCGATTTTAGTAGGTATTACATTATGGTTTACGTGTATAGCAACTCGGTGATGGATATCGTTTTAATTTATGGCGAAGCAAGACAATACTTGTGTTATAGTGAAGTATTTGTGTTATGGTGAAGCAGGACAATATTTGTCTTATGATGAAGAATTTGTGTTATGGTGAAGCAAGACAACATTTGTGTTATGGTTGTGCAAAACCGTACTTATTTTATCAACTTTGACGTCACCTGTTACATAGGTGTTGTATAACAATGAAAAAGTAATATTAACGGTCGGTAGAAGGAAGCACAAAAAACAGGCACTTAGGTAGGAAATTCTGGAAGGAAGCCTAAATAGTTGAAGATAGGCAGTTGAAGTGAGAACAGTGTGCAGATAGGTAGCAAGACGATCGGCGGGCAGTGTGACAAAGTAGTGTAAAATTAAGTGTTTAAAGTGTTATTAGTTAGCAGGTAATATTCTTTAAGTACTTTGTTGTTAATTGTTCTATGTAATCTTATGATTGTGATGGTTATAGATGTTTCATGATAATAATTCTTTGTATGTTTAGCTTCCATTGCTTTATGCTCAAGGGCATATATTTTTCTAAGGTAAAATTGTTATAATTATTATTAACGATTGCTCATTATTTATTTCATGTTAAAATATATATATCTTGTCGTAACTGCCAGACATTACAATAACGACTTCTTTGTTTCACATCTAACTTGTTTTTGCCACGATTACGTTATACGTAAAATATAGATGTTTCATGATAATAATTCTGTATATGTTTAGCCTTCATTGTCTTACGCTCAGGGGCGTATATTTTTCTAAGATAAAATTGTTACAATTATTATTAAAGATTGCTCATTATTTATTACATGTTAAAATATGTATATTGTCGTGACCGCCCGGATATTGCAATAACGACTTCTTTATTTCACATTTAACTTGTTTTACCATGATTAAGTAGTTCTTTGATTTCTTGTGCTCACTTTATGTCATACGTCTATACGAGCCTTGTTGAGTTTACTAACATTTTCGCCCGTGCGGAACGAATCTGGATTAAGCTCGATTGCCTCCCGTATGGGACTCCAGTGTTATGAAGGATCTTCCGAAATCTCAACTATAGCTGGATTGCCTCCCGTATGGGACTCCAGTACCTTCCCTATTATTATTGCTATTATTATTATTGTTGTTGTTGTTGTTGTTGCTATTATTGTTACTAAAACCTCTTCAGTTTTACTTGGAAGTGTGTATGTCAGACTTGAGTGAGATGACATTTAGTGAGAAATTAAATAAGTCCAGTTTTAATTATCATTAGCAAAGGATCTTAATTTATGCCTTTGGTTAGCGGTTGTTTTGCATTCATATTTGGGTGGTGAGAGCAACGATCGTGGGTTTCTCTGCCACGCTCTTTCCCCGCAGAAGCTCTAGGTGAGCCTGGCACTCTCATTTGATGTTAAATGGTTGTTAATGTTTTTGTTGTTCTTTCTATTTGTCACATGTTTAATTTGAATTGTATGTAAATAAAGGTTAGGTGTATTTACTCTGCTGTTGTTTTAAATAATTAAACCATACATCCCCTCTACAAAGTTAGTAGCCAGTGCCTTCCGGTCAATTAAAAATGGATACACACAACGTAGGTAGTCCTTATGGCGATCATATATTTTTGGCCACAACTACGTTTACTTATTTTTTGTCGAACCTAGGGTTGTTATACTACATGGTGAAGTAGGACAATATTTGTATGATGAAAAATTTGTGTTATGGTGAAGCAAGACAACATTTGTGTTATGGTGAAGCAAGACAACATTTATGTTATGGTGAAGTATTTGTGTTATGGTGAAGCAAGACAATATTTGTGTTATGATGAAGTATTTGTGTTATGGTGAGGCAAAACAACATTTGTGTTATGGTGAAGTATTTGTGTTATGGTGAAGCAAGGCAACATTTGTGTTATGATGAAGTATTTGTGAAGCAAGACAACACTTTTGTTATGGTGAAGTATTTGTGTTATGGAGAAGCAAGATAACATTTCTGTTAGGTCGTAGAAACTAAGTACGATGGGCCCAAATGTGTTTACTCGTCGGTGGACAAAATTTTGAACAATTGTTGTAACATCAGGTATCAGGTAATATTTTATTAATTCAAACCACAAACTAATTTTATTAATTAATAATAATAGTGGCAAAAGCAGTTCAATTTGCTGATATAAAATAGGTGCTATAAAATTTTATTTAGTTCTTTCCTTACGAAAGAAATTCTTTAAATTTTTTGTCGATTCATTTTTTTACACTTTACCGTTGTGCCGGTCTACGACTGCATGCTTTGCCTTGTGCAGAGATGTATTTTTAAATCATTTTCCAAATGCCGTTCTGGATTTTTTTTTACAAAATTGTATTTGCAAGAGTTCCCTGTACATTCAAAAATTGTTTTTAAATTGTTTTTCGTATAAGTCAAATATAAATGTCTTATATTTTTTGCTCGTGTCTGAATTTTTAAATGCTGTTTCCGGAAAATAAGAAAAAAAAAGTTAGCGAACCTTGATATAAATAAATTAAAAACTTTTTTGCATTCATACTATGGTTAAACAGTCTTTAATTTTCAATAAATTAGAGGCATTATACTGAAATCTTACTGAAATCGTCATATTGCCGTGGTAGCAGAATGCATGGCTTTTACTGACACGTGAAAACGGGCCTTATCAGGTAATTAAAAAAAATGTGAAAACGAAGCCTCTATGGCTGCATCAACACCGTTTGACAAAAAACGATCGCGCAAAAAGCCGCGCGTCGCACTCTGCTCGTCGCGTTACTACCTTCGACATCGCGTATCAAGTAGGCCGCTGCAGATCCGAGCCCCTGCAGCCACTTCTGCCGATCAGTCTTCTTGCAAACTTCACCTGAGAGGTATTACCAACGCCGAGGTACCTGTTCAGTCGACCACGCGCGTGCTGTCGCGTCGTATACGTTTGTTTGTTGACGGAATTCTGTGTCGACGGTGATTTTCGCTGAAACCGGTAAGTGGCCAGTTTGAGTTTTCAGTAGTCCGTAGGTGTCGCATGGTCCTTTTCAAGTGATAGTGCCGGGCGTTATTGCCATAACTAATGGTTGCATCAAGGATATCGGTAATGATTTAATAACGGTTGCAAGTAATGAGGAGTTGCATAAGGAAAGGTCTCCTCTTGATATTTACCGATTTTTTCCCGCAAAGGGCACTATTAGTATTGATATTTGACGATTAAAACTGAATCATTGCACACATTTCATAGTAGCGACTAAATTCTATATGTTCTCCATACGTCAATTCTACAAAAAAACATTTATTTGGATGATTCAGGGGCATGTTTTTGTAAGTCTTCTAAAAAATATATTTAATTTTCTGTAATAATCGCGGAATTGTGGGCAACTGCTGCGTGTAAAAAAGGATTGTATCTCCTCGATTTTTGAAAGTAAACCTACCTATGACATTGGTTCTCCTTGTTTGGAGAATGGTGATGTAATTCAATAAAAGTATCCGAGAAATAGTGCATGAAATGGTCTAAGTTTCGTTTTTATAGCTGTTGGAAGAACGTACTGAATAGTAATATCTGATGTTGTTACCAGATTATTGATTGTTGTTTGTTAAGAACAATGGTTAATTACTGTGGTTTTGAAAACAGTTGCAGTTTGCTGTTATGATGCTAAATTTACATGTTATGCAACGCATTCTTGATTTTATCTGATTTCGTTTGTCGGTGTGGTACTCGAATGCAATAACAAATAGGTACATGTTATAATGTTCAGTTATCATACGCACTTATAAATTGTGATTTAAATTTCTTTTTGTATAAATAATACATATTGTATAATAAGGGCAGGTTTCATATAATGCTATTAGTTACTTTATTATTTAATTCATATTATATTTAGATGAATTAAATCCTTGATGCCTAATATTATTTTAAAAAATATTTGAAAATAGTCATAAATGACTACCGAAGGATTATATTAATTTTACTATCTCTTTACATTACACAAAATAAAAACAGTAAAGTACAAAAATTACATTATGCCAATTTATTCATGAAACGAATAATTTTGTAATATTTGTAACAAGTATTTCACATTATCGCAAGGCATATTTTTATTATAAAACAACCAGTGGTTTTCCTCTTATTAATTTTATTTTAAGACTTATTATAAAAGCATTTTCAATTTTATTAAAAAATTACAAAATCAGTTTTTATTTTAAATTAAATTTTAAATTACCATATTTTATACTATACAGGCAGTTCAAGAAGCTTAAAGTAATAAAAAAGTTTTTGTTATTCATTAATGCCCGTTTGCATTGTTTAGAATTTAAGCCAAGTTCAACTGAACTTGGTTTAATTTTAAAACTAGGTTTTAATAATCAGCTTTTGCACCACTTACTGCCGATTGTAGATTAAATTAAACTGGGCTTTAGGAATATTGTTTAGGGATTTTATTATGCTGCTAACTTATGTCCAGTTATGTTCGGAAAAAAATATGTCAAAGTCAAATTCTCAAACCAAAATTTTAATATGAGTACCATCAATGACACCTAACACTCTAGGAAATGATGCAATTTTATAGAACTCATGTAGAAAGCTAACTATTTCTTCAGGGTTTGGCATTTTTATGTATCTCTGATAAAGCCGAGCTATTGCAATAATTGATACTCGTACAATTATTCTGGACACTGTTGATATGTCCATCCCTGAAAAGTCTGCAATAGCAGACAAATGACCAGCACAAGCATAGAACCAATTGTTGGATAGGAGATACACTATTGTTCCCAGAAATACAAAATCATGTTAAGAATAAAAGCTTTTTATAACCCCAAAATTATGATTACCAGTTGCACTTGGATATTTCAACTCCTCTTCAATTAAAGTTAGCAGATGTAATGTGGTCTCTTTTGTCAACCTAAATCTGCGGAAAAAGTCATATTGTCTAGATTATGAAATAGATCATTTCTAATATATCTAGGAAATCCAAGGTCTATAATTTCGTGAATATAAAAATCATCCAATACATCAAAGTCAAAATCTGAATCCATTTCAAAGTTCTCAATGATGTCTTAACACCACTCACTCATACACAGTCCACAGGAAAAGGAATAAATGCCTATTTAAAAAAATTATAACTAGCAGCTAAGTACTGTCAATAGTGTCAATTTATATTTTCTCATTAATCCAAGTTTAAGCGGACTTTGAGGGTTTAAATTAATCCTAGATTAATACATAGATTTGAAACGGTGCAAACAAAATGTTATATTTTAATTAAGTTCAGACTTAATCCTGGATTAAACACTACAGTGCAAACGGGCAATATAAAATGCATGGTGTTATTATTATCATTTTTTTAGGAATACAGACTCACAAAAATTATTTATTTTATGGAATTTGTGACTTTTTTTTGTAATATATTAAAAATTCTTGTATTATCTACCAGTAAATTATTAAACGGTTCAAGGTTGAAGAAAATTGGCTTTATTTATTAAAATTAATTAAGAATGATCAAAATTTGTTGTACAAATGTTCAAAAATTAACTAAAAACCGAGTAAAATTCTCACATTTTTGTGGGTAATATTTACCTGTCCTCGATATTTGCTATATCAATAGGCCCATTCAGTGATATATAATTTTAAACTTTTTCTTTCATTTTCTGATAGTATTTAACCACCTAATTATATCTTAAAAAAATTAGGTCAATAGGATTAATAATAAGTGATATATTTAATACTGAATTTGTAAGACCCTTAAAAAGGTCAACACTGCGAGAGAACAGCTAATGACGTCACGATACCGGCCACTCGGCGATCAAGTCGCGAGCAGACGGAGAGATGTGTAGATATTTGCTATACTTTTACCTATATTATATACCTATATTTTTAAGTGTATAAATAGAGAGTGTATAAGAGATATACATCAAGTCTTGTTGAAATGCATTTTTCACACAACATATTTATTATAAACATAGAATGTCTTGGAATATCTAAATACATTTTCGGATTTTTCTCAATGACGTAAATGGTTCATTTTTCTACATTTTCTTTTGCCTTCCATTTTGTGTACAAATGTACCCAACGTACTATACTCGGTACTTGTGGATGTATGCGACGACGTGTATGTGCGAGCAACTCAGAACCACCCTCGTTTTTCTTTGATTGCCCGTCTATATTATTATTTAAATAAATTACTTATAGGTGCCTCTCGCAACGTATTTCGAAATTTTTGTGGACGGGAACGTTTAGATGGGGTAGAATTTATTTTTTCGACATAAATTTGAAAATTCTGCTCTAAATGTTTAAATAATAATATTTATAACCTCTTAGACGGGCAACCAAAGAAAAACGAGGGTGGTTCTGAGTTGCTTATAGGTCCCTCTCGCCGACGTATTTCGAAATTTTTGTGAACGGGTACGTTTAGATGGGGCAGAAATTTTTTCCAGCATAAATTTTATAATTCTGCTCTAAATGTTCAAATAATAATATTTAAAACCCTCTAGATGGAAAACCAAAGAAAAACTAGAGTGGTTCTTAACTGCTTATAGGTCCCTGTCGCCGTCGTATTTCGAATTTTTTGTGAACACGAACATTTAGATGGGGCAGAATTTATTTCCGGCATAAAGTTGAGAATTGTGCTCTAAATGTTCAAATAATAATATTTTACAACCCCCTAGACGTGCATCCAAAGAAAAACGAAGGTGGTTTTGAGTTGCATACCGTGGCTGGGGAAACCGTGGATAACATCACACAAACTTTTCATTTTTCGGTAATGAAATAAATATTTTATTCGGAGTCGATCCTGAGGTACTTTTGCAGCCTGGAACTATACAATATTTGTACAATCCTCGGTTTCGACCCATTTAGACATAAAAACAATAATTAACGAAACTGCGAATCGATCCACATATCGTATGTATTAACACAGAATGGGAAGAGAGCGAGCGTGAGCGGAGTGCTCTATTATGACGTCAGGCAATGGTTGCTCAACGTTTTTCCGCGCTCTGTTTTCATTAATTTATTTCACACATTTCTTGTTGAAACAAAAAATAGATTTTTGGCGTACTAACTAATTAAAGGGTAAACTTTTGAAATATGCAATAAAAAAATTTTACTGAATGGGCCTATTGTAACCCTTTGTATTTGATTCAGAACGTACATATTTGAAAACTATAACTTTAGCAACTCATAACCGTCCTACTATTTCTTTATGCCAATGATATATGAATACCAACAGAAATTATTTACTATTAGAAATTACCTAATTGTGCAAAAAAGTGTAAATTGTCCTTCTTCTAACATTTATTAAGAAAATAATAAATGAATAAAAAATAAAGAATTAATTGAAATTCATTTTTTAATTTCAATACTTTTAAAGTAGATATACAGTTGTATGTATGTACAGTGTATTTTAATTTGAGGAGCATCATTCTCGTATTTTGGAACGAATAAGTTGATTTTCAAATATTTTTATGTTACTGTACTTACATAATTTCTGTTCCATCCCAATCTCATGGCCTACTGTGTTCAATTCAATTGGAAATTCTTATTAGACATTTTTAATGTTAAAAAGTCATAGCTTAATTGAACTGTACTTACCCAAATGTGCTAATACCAATATTGTCTTGTTAACGCAATGACAAATTCTATTACTATAACTATGCACCTATGGTACAATAACAAAGTTATTAACAAATAAATAAAATAACATTGGAAATAGAAACTTTAAACAGGATCAGTTTCAAGTAAAAAATAAAATTGTTTATTTCATATTTATATTTTTAATATTTCTTTATTTACTTATACAAACGTTTATAATTGTAGAGTAATAATAAAATTATTATTATTTTTAACAAATATTAATAACTCACCAAATTTTAGATCTCACTCTAAAACGATCTTCTTTTGTCATTCTCTGTATAAAGACCTTTTGTTACAAACTCTAATTTAAAATGGCTCAATATCATGAAATATTCGCTTTATACAGGGACTATATAATGTACTTTACA